GCATCCTCTCTGCCACAACAACCCTCCACGTGTCCTTTTTCACTACATCCACAAGCCTATTCTTTAGCTCAGGAGGTGGAGCACGTCATCTACTAACTGGAAGGTTGGTGGTTTGATCCCTGGATGCCAAACATGCTTGAGCAAGATACTAACCCCAAGATGCTCTTGTATGGGTGTGAATGTTTGATAGAATGTACATAGCATAGAAAACAAAATTGCTTGGGTGAATGAGGCATGTTGGATAAAGTTCTTTATCCAACAGAGCAGAAAAAAGGGCTATATAAGAACCAACAGCATGTTCTGTGGTCTTCCTCTTTTCCTCCTGCCTGGCAACTCCACATTCAACATCCTTTAATATATCCACAATCACTGCTCTGCACAAGTTCAAACCATTCAAGCCTTGCCTCTCAAATCTTGTATCTTAACTGCTTAGCCTTAGCCATCCCTCTGATATGCTCATTAAGAATCCTGTCCATTGTGGTCACTGCCAATGAAATTTATAACATCTACAACTAGGCTTCCCGGCTTTTTGTCAGGTCAAACCATTATCCGTTATTACACTAATTAAGATCTGTTACTAGACTTGCGCAATGCAAGGGACAACTAAGGCTTTCAAGCTTAGACATTTTTAAAACTCATTTCACTGTTTCTATGTATTACTTGCACTTTCTTTTGTCCATTTCTTTGATCTTTTTTTTGCATTTATATAATTGTTTTGTGGGAAGGGAGGCTGGGAAAACAAAAGTTTCATTATACTGTGTAATACTGTAAAACTGTAAAGCATTATATTTATTTCTATCGTGCATGTGACAATATAACCTTTGCAATAAAGCAGTCTTCATTTATTTAAAAACCGGGCACACAAGTCGGAAAAGTTGCGTTTCCTGTGCGACACTGACGTCATATCCTCTTTCTTGATGCCCAAGCAAACGTTGGAGAGTAATGGCGGCGTGCCGGGGGTCTTCGTCGAAATGGTTTTTCACCCGGGAACAGCTCGAAAACACGCCGTCTCGCCGAAGTGGAGTAGACGCAGATCGAGAACTCTCCTACCGACAGCAAGCGGCAAATCTGATCCAAGATATGGGTCAAAGACTCAACGTGTATCCTTTGTAAATATCTCCTCCTCCAGCAGGCTGGACGGAGACATGGCGCTAACTAACCGTTAGCTATGCCCGTTAGCTGATTTTGAACCGCTTTTGAGGTTCGGGAGCTTGACGCGGGAGTTTTCAGTTGGTGTGCTTTGTTTTGTTATGTTCTTGAAAAATATTTTAGCTTATTAAGTCGTTTACCTTTAAGTACAGTAATACATTTCACTCTTAATTGTTTTCCCTTTTGGCTTCGCGCTAATGTAGCATGCTAGTTATTTCCCTAGCTAATAGTTCGCGTGTTGAAGGCCTTGAAGCGAATTTGCAGCTTCGATTGGCCCACAGAAATACACAGCTTCACAAAAAAGCATTTATTCACTGGATAACGTTATATTTCCATAGTTTGGTCTGTAGTAAGTGTTTTTTTTTAAATCCATTAATTTTCCTCTACTGGTTTATATTAATGTCACTGTACCGACATAAATACAAACTTTAGATTTCTCTCTACGCTCAGTGATTTTTGTTATTTAGGCCATTATTTAAAGCTAATAAGATGCGAATCGTGACTCTATAAGCTGTCAAATTGCCGTTTTTGTTGAAAAAGTTGACGTATATCGGCTCCTTCAGCTGGTTAAGACTGTGTATGTTGACATAAATATAAGAGCATTTGTTTTGCTCTGACTTTAAGCTTAATATTTCCTTGACTCTCCCTTCAGCTCTCAATTAACAATAAACACAGCAATCGTTTACATGCATAGATTTTATATGCACCATTCTTTCAGCAAATTCCATAGGAATGTAAGTAGTAATATGGCTAGCTCTCTTGTTTACCACCAGCCACCTGTTGAGTAGATTTGACAGATATACTTGCATTTTAATTTTTTATACAGATAATCTCTCCAACCACCCTATTCTTGGCTGCAAAAGTGGAAGAGCAACCTCGGAAACTCGAACATGTAATCAAAGTTGCACATGCTTGCCTAAATCCCCAAGAACCGCCTCTAGACATAAAAAGTAATGTAAGTATCGGCATCGGTGCATATTGTATTGTTTAAAAAAATTTTTTCCTGTTGTCTCAGTGGTCATGGTTTGCCTGTGTTAAAGCGGCTGGGCCGCATTTCCCTACGCTGTAAAACGGTTCTGATTATTCTCCACTGGCCTGCAGTTGGTGTGTACAAAACAAATCACCCATCAAGGCTTGCAGTAATAGTGTAATGAGCCTCTCTGTTTGGAGTTTTGGCCATTTGCAATCAGATGTTAGGGGGTTAGATTAATAGACACATTACAGTTGTGTTGAAATGACTGTCTATCAAACTTCAGGCATACCTCCAGCAAGCTCAAGAGCTGGTGATACTTGAATCCATAGTGCTGCAGACCCTGGGTGAGTAGTGGTGACTGGAGTGGATGACTTGAGAGCGGTTTGTTTGTCCATATCATTGGTTAATTATAAGTAAGGGAGTAGTGCTGTTGATTACTGATGAATTTGTTTATCACAGCCTGCTGACTGAAATGTTTTATTTGCATATGGTTGTTTTCACATACATGTTTTCAGTGAATCATGTAAAGGTGACATGTCATTCTCTTTTTGCTAATGCTAGTTACGAATGTGGCACTAATTTTTATTTTATTTTTTTCTCCATCAATTGCAAAATTCTATGTTGAAACGAGGGATGCACCGATCCAACTTTTCCCATTTGTGATACCTAAAGCATATCTGCTGATACTTTGTAGTGATTTTATACCAGTGTTGAAAATGTGTTGAAATATGTATTCTTCACTTCCCAAGAGACTTGGGATAGTTTTTCGTTTGTTTTTAATGTAATGTTAGGCAACATGAGATTAATCTTAAACATTACTTTCTTAGATTATATGTAAAACGAGAGCTAAGAAAGGAGTACCCTAGATAAATTACATTTCGTGGATCTGCAGTGATTAGTAAAATGTTACATGAAAACTTACACAAAACATTCCATTATTTATTGTGGGTAAATAGATTTATTAGTGTTATTTCTGTCATTTATTTGCTATAGCACTATTTGAGCTCAAAATGCACATAGCTCTATGTTACAGTCATGCTTGTTTCTCCTTTTGTTCCTAGACTAGAGAAGTGTTATATAACTACAAATACTGTACATTACATAAAAGCTTCCCCACAAGTGCCCCAGAACAATCATCCTTCTGGCTTCTACATCACACGTCTGTGAGACAGAACAAGATGGAGTCAAATAGATCGGGTGTAGATTGGGTCATTAGCCTTGATATTGCGCCAGCTTTTTGAGTCACAGTTGGACAGATACCAATCCCAGTATTGGATTGATGCATCTCTGGTTTGACTAGAACAGTTTGTGCTCTCCTACTTCAATGGTGGAAAATCTGTTTATACAAGTCAATTAATTCTCACTTCAAATGTACCCAATTTCATTATCAAGCTCCAAAATCTACTTTTAACAACAGTACACAGATGTGTACTAATATTAATTGATTGCAAATTCTCTTGCTTTTTTACCCTTTTTTTTAAATCACAAAATGACATGTCACCTCCCAGCTATGTCTGTGTTGAACTCACCTGTCATGTATTTTGTTCCAGGCTTTGAAATAACTATTGATCACCCACACACTGATGTGGTGAAATGTACCCAGCTAGTGCGAGGTAGAGGCTTCCTTCTTTGCTCTTTGTGCCCTCTGCTCTTGTTTATCCCACCTCAGATGTGGGTGGGGAGGGGGAAGAAAACCTTGCTGATTTAATGCTTACGTGAAAACACTTAACCTTGTGTTTTGTTTTTTGTTTTTTCCTTCACATTGTTTTTGACATAGCATAAACGCTTATTAAAGCAAGACTGAGATGAAATTAGTTTTGAGATATTACTATTTCATATAACTAGAATATAACTGTAACCTTTAATAAACCAATAGCTACAAAAATTCAGCTAGAAACTGTTTTCAGATTTATCTTTGTTTCTAATAAAAGCAAGAGAATGTGTGCTTTTAAAAAAACGTTGTCCATCTTAATACTGCTAGGCTAGATTACCGGCAGCTTACAGTCCTAAAAAAAAACCCCAACCTGGTAGCTTTAAATTTCCTTCATACAAATTACTGATTGTCTAAAACTTTTGTTTGTTTGTTTAGAAATGGGAGCTGCCTTTGTTATTGATAAATTGCTCCAGTATTGGTGGATTTTGTGTTGGCCCTCATGCATGATTTGTCTGCCTGACTAAACTGTAACCCAGAGTCCATGCCGCCTTTGCAGAGCAGATGAGAGCAAAGAGAGAGAAATCACCACTCAGAGCTGTGCATTTAAGTGTTCTGAGTTTGGAATATTCTTAAAATAAGACATAATTATGAGCTGAAAATATATATTTAAATTTCAGATTACACATACTTATTTTCCTGTCTCAGAATTAGCCTGCACCCTAATTCATAATGATATATGCATCCTCATGGCATTTGTGATCGTTTGACAAACATTTATTCCTATTATACTTGATTTAGTGAAACCCTTAACAAAAGGACTATATTTAGGTTGCCAGAAATTCTTCTGTGCAGGAAAAAAATTACCAAAACGTTAATATTTTCTGTCATCCAGGAATGTATTGCTACCATTCTACTTTGTGCACATGACATAAATCGCACTTGTTTATGAATACAATTCAAAATGAACAAAATATTTATTTCACTGTTTACTAGACAAAAGTCTATAAGGGGTAGTATTAAATTTGTTTGTTTTCTGTGGTGTAGACTAAGGACAAATTTACAGTCCATGTCCGGTTACAAACACGTCTTTACATTCTCTGTTGCCCTGTTGTATTACCTTGGAAGTGGCTTTAATTGGCTATAAGCCCTTTTTTGAGATTAACATTTCTCTATTCAGAAAAGGTACCACAGCTTTTAAGTTTCCAAAATGTTGGACTAGCTTAGCTCAGTTTTTATCCAGTCTCGGTCTTGCCTTAATTATTGCGTTGGAAATCTGCTTAAATGCTAAACTTGACATTCTGTCCTTATATTAATGATAAAATAATTTTGATTTGCAGAAAAATTGATTTCTCTTTTCCTTCTGTCTTTTTCCCCTCTCTTTCAGCAAGCAAGGATCTGGCACAGACTTCCTATTTCATGGCTACCAACAGGTTGTTATCCTGCCCCTCTTTGTTGCACTTTGACTGCACACCATAGCTTCCTGTAATGCAGGGTACCCTTTCAGTGTCCAACCGGCCCTACTTGCGCTGGTGGTTGTTGGGACGCTTGCCTCCTCCCCTCAGCTCCCCTCCCTTCTTCCAAGGTAGCGGGACGTGGTGGCTTGTAGCGTTACCGGCCCCAGTTGCAGTGCGGTGTATTGTACAAGGGACCATGTGTTGGCACAGATGGGTTGAATGCAAAATGTGAAGTGTAGTGGTGCGCTTGAAACCCACACGTTTGTTCGGTTGCGAAAAAGTGCATAATTCTAAAAGAAAGACACTTTGGTAGCCTGAATAGCAGCTAAAGATTTCACAGATGTAAACATTTCTCATAGAGGGCCTTCGGTAAGTACCGCAGATTAATTCTTAAAATGTTGTTTTTCATATGAATCTGTTCAAAATGTATCATCTCTTTAGATATCTTCAGCCTTTTTAATGTTTGCTTGTCATTAAATGCACTTCTAGTTCAAAGTTGATTTAAGCTTAAGAAAAAGCTAATTATAACCCATTAAGGACCTGCAAAAAACATCAGGGTTTTACCATTAGCCCAGGTTGGTCCACTTGAGCCACACCATGCTAAGTCAAGCAATCCTGACATGCATTTCCACTACAGCCCTACAGCAGGATAGGAGTGAGTGACACAGCCTCAACAATATATCACCATAATTTGCGATACTGATGTTTATGACAATTTAGAGAAAGAGATCATGTTTAGCGGTTATTGCAGCTTGCAGGCAGCAACATTTAGTGCAGATAAAATGAAGGACGTTTTCCATCTTTCTTTTCCAGTGAGCTGCTGTCATTTATGACAGGTTACATAAATAATGCTGCATTATATTGCAATGGCAGGAAGAGAGCACAAGAGTTGCCAAAGTAGACTTTTCAATTAAAGTTGAAACATCTTTAATAACTAAATTAGGTCTTCAGCAGCTACACGATTTTGTCATATAACTGTGACGGTGCTGTGAAAAATGTTTTTCTAGTTTTACTTTGGCTCGAGCTCTTTTTAGTAACCCTCTTAAAGCCCTGCTTCTCTACTGTGTAAGTGAATCGGGAGTATAGGATCATATTGGTTTTTGCCAAAACTTGATGATATGTATCCACACAGAAACTCTGATTCAGAGTGCAGAGGGAGATGATCTCTTTGCTTCTGCTTTTGATTTCTTCTCCTATACCAGTGCTGGTGTTAACAGTTTGTCTGAGAGGTGACACATGTCATGCAGAGAGCGCCAAGTTTAAGGGGCCAGTTGAGGAACTGAAGTTTTTGCTACTTGAATGCCGGTTTTCTCACCCTTCTGGTTTGGAGTTTAAGGCCATTTTCCATTAGTACCTACTCGGATTGGCTCAACACAGATCGACTGGGTTCCAGTATAGGATCTGTTGTTGTTGTTTTGTTTGGGTATTTTTGGTGGCCGTTTCCTTCGTTGCCAGGTTTCAAAAAAAGGTTGTTTTTGATTTTTGTGAACAAGGCGCTCTCATGACTCAAGTGCCGCCACTGACCAGCCAATCGGTGCCGTGCAGTCTGACGACGTCACAATTTAGTACCTGCTCAGATAGCTTGGAACTCGGCCTAGCAGGCACTACTTTAGTACCTGGTACTATGAACTAATGGAAGGCTGTGGCGATTCGCTCCAAGTAGGTACTAATGGAAAAGAGCCTTTAGTTTGACTCCTGTGTTGTTAGCGTTTCATTTTACTAGTTATTAGCTGCTCGTAAATGGCCTGTATTTGTATAGCGCTTTACTCAGTCCCTAAGGACCCCAAAACGCTTTACACTACATTTAGTCCTTCACCCATTCACACACACACATTCACACACCGCTGATGGCAAGCTACATTGTAGCCACAGCTGCCCTGGGGCGCACTGACAGAGGCGAGGCTGCCGGACACTGGCGCCACCGGGCCCTCTGACCACCGCCCAAGGACACAACGACCGAGACTGTCAGAGCCAGGCTTGAACCGGCAACCTTCCGATTACAAGACGAACTCCAAACTCTTGAGCCACGATCGCCCCAATAACAATAGTTGAACTCGTTTTCTGCAATTGAAAACCAAACCTTAGCTGTTGTAGGATGCTTTTTTTTTTTTTGAAAGCTCTTCAGTAGTAAACTGCTCTCTTCCATGAAAAGCAGATAAGTTGTAGCAAATGGAATGTGTTTATCGCTGCATTACTGATCTTTATCAGTGGTTCAAGGAAATGACTATTATTGCTGTGTGGTGCAGTGGAAAAACAGTTGTACCATTTACTGCATGGCTTGGCACAACTTTACCTCTGCTATGGAAAAACCCAAATATGATGCGCAACTAATTTCATCAAATCATTTAGTGTGCGTGTGGTTTTTGTTTTTTGAATGTAAGGGCAAAAGGACATGCCATGTTTCTGAGGTGAAAAACCGGGTCCTTAACGGGTTTCTTTTAATGTAGGTGGTAGAGGAAATTGTTACCAATGTCTTTTTGTCTTCTGAAACTTCAGTTTACAGTGTCTGGATGCTGAGTGTGAGTGGTGGAGATGTGTTGGAACTTCAAATGTAGAAAACTTGTAACTCAAATTTATTTTGACTCAGTAATAAGGATTACATTAGATTTGTTTTCAGTCAAATTGGTTAAACATACATTTATATAGAGAGCGAGCATATAAAGCATTGGCTTTGATAACTGTTATCATCACAACATTTAGACATATTCCAGGCATTGTACTCTCTGCAGTGTTTAAAATGTACTGATGCAGAAGTTATTGAAAGCTGTTTTTCTCCCTACAACGGCATTAATAATATATTTAAAATGTTGTTAAATTTAACTGTGAAGTCGACTGTCTTCCTTTAGGCTTTTTGATTATGGATTAAGGTCCCATTAGCAGTGAGATGTTGTGCAGAGATCTAAATCGTGGCCTCAGTACACTTGAAATGACCAATGATAGCTCCCCCCAAATAATTAAGAACCTAACCTTTGTTTTTCATATATCTTAGCTGTCAGTGTTTAACTGGTAATAGTAGTCTGTATTCTGCAGTGACCCTTACAGGTCGAACCTGTGCAAAACCACACTGGGCACAATGGCACAAAAATTCAAAAACACAGGAAAAGTGATTTTTGGAACACAATAACTTGATGGACCAGCTGCATAAGTGACAGTCCTAACAGTAAACGGCCACAGTATTATTTAATTACACACATTACGTTGACTCTTTTTCTCCCTCTAACACTGATAAACCCTCTGCTTCCTCTGTGTGTCTCTGTGCTTCATATCTTCTGGTTTCTGTCACTTCTGCAGCTGGTCCATCACATTACGCGAGTTAGATTTTGTTTGTTCGACTTCTGTTGTGCTTTGTGTGCCTTCGCAACATTTTCCTATTTGCTGGCATTTGCTTACATTTCAGTACATTTAAACTCGTGGCCACTGTAGTATTCTCATGTTTGCAGTTGAGTTTTACAGATACACGTCAAACTGAACTGCAGTTATATGTATTTAATTAGGGTTTTAAAATTCATTCAGCACAATCATACCTATACAACAGGGCTGTTAAGTTGTATGCCTTCATTGCCTTGATGTTGAGCCACCTGATTAAGCAATTTAAACACAGTTCAGAGAGAGAAGGGGGGGCAGGGGGTGCTGTAGGAAGGTACCCTTGTCAGATAACTGTATGATGATGTCATTGTTGCATGGGTGGCCTCATCCTTGTGTTTTGCGAAGACATGACTATGATTCTATGAGTGGAGTCATTCCCTACTTCACTACCTTTTTGTTGTTCT